TATGGTTACAAATATAGTTTCACTAAAATATGGCAATTTCACATAGCAATTATTAGAATTATTGTAATTGTACTAAACCACATCTTTTGACATTTTCTACACCAAAAAATTTACAATAAACATAGAAAAGAAATACTATTTTTTATTATCACCATGTCCTTCCAACCCTAAGAACAATTGTTGCATAAAAAGTACTCAGTAATTGTTTACCAAAGACCAACAGCCTGCATGAGATGTGAATCATCAAATTTAAGTTAAACTATGGCTAAGAAAAAATGCTTCAGAGCTGAACTGAAATGAAGCTAAATTCCTGCATAAGAAAGGAGGGGAGAGAAGGAGGGAGGGAGGGAGGGAGGGAGGGAGGGAGGGAGGAGGGAGGGCAGATGGAGACAAGAAAGAGCCAGAGACAGATATTGGGGGTCCACGCTGAAAATCAGAAAGGCAAAGTGGCCCGCTCTTACCTTTACCTCAAACTAAAATGAGTGATCCAGCCACCAAGAATCTCAGGATGAAACTGAGCATACGACCTGTCTCTTACAGTTTTATATTCCTCTCTAGTGCTGGGATTAAGGGCATGCAGCACCACCACCTAGCCAACCAGTGTTGCTGCTGAGATTAAAGATGTGTGTCACCACTACCTGGTCTGTATAGCTGACTAGTGTGGTTGCTGATCTGCAGGCAAGCTTTGTTTATTAAAAAAAAAAATAACATACCACTAGGAAGGAAAGAAGGAGGGAAGGAGCGAAGGAGGGAAGGAAGAAAGGAAGGAGAAATGAAAGAACGTAACAGAACAACTAATAACTAACATGAACATCACTTTTCTTTATTACTCAAGTCCTGTATTAGTGAATAGCAACTGAAATTGCAAAACAGTTCAATGCGATGGGTAATATTTTTTAAAAATTTAAATATTCATTGTAGCATGTAAAAATTCAATTATATTTAAAAAAATAAAAACTTCCTGAAGATCTGAGAGTAAAACAGTCCCACTGTTTAGCCTTGCAGACCAGGTTATGGTAAAACACAACTTTAATTCTAGTAACCACAATGACATACACCTTTAATCCCAGAAGCCACAATGACACACACCTTTAATGCCAGAAGCCACACTAGCTGATAGAAATTGGGTGATGTGTGCCTTTAATCCCAGCCCTACAGAGGATTATAAAATGAGAGGAAACAGCTCTCAACACACAGTCTCATTCTGAGATTCCGGGAGGCACGATCACCATTTCGGACTGAGGATGAGGTAAGAGTCAGTGGCTGGCTATTTTGCTTTTCCAGAACATCAGTTGAACCTTAATTTCTCTCTTTGAGTTTTTATTAATCATGATTCAATTCATGGCATAATAATATATATTTAAGATATTCCAAAGTTCTTTCAAGGACAATGAATTTTGGTAACTATATGACAGAAAAACTGGACAAGCAAGGACCCAGATCTAAGAAGCCATACTACCACCCCAGGTCAAGAAAACAACAGAGGCTACAGAGATTTCTCAGTGGCTAAGAGCACATACTGCTCTTACACAAGACCTGAGTTAAGATCCCAGCACCCACACTGGGCAGTTTACAGTCACCTGTAATTAAAGCTTTGGGAGAGCCTGCTTCCTCTTCTGATCTCTGAGATCACCCCCACTCTTGTAGATCACTCAGCTAGGCTGCCTCTCATCTCAGCATCTTGGCAGTAGTAAACAATGTATATACTGATATTCATCAGTATTCAATGTAGTTATATCCTGTAGATTCCACCAAAGTCGAGCAGGTTGTGGTGTGTGAGGTGGGAAGCTTCTGTTTCCTGTTCTAAGACTGTCTTCTGCTTCCACTCTGCAGTGATCTCCTTTCCCTCTCCTGACAAAACCAGCCTCAAGTCACTCAGCTCCCAGCCTCATATTCATCTAATCTAGCTCACCTGTACACAGAATCCTAAAGGGTCAACTCAAACCTCACATACTTCTGCTTATATTTTATCTAGAGATGGAATCACTGCTTCTTATGATGTGATATTAAAGATCATTTAAAAAAATAACTTCCAGAGTTCTCCAACTAAAACCTCCTATATCAAATGCTTTGATTGTGATCCCTCATGGGCTATTTCATGGACACTGTACCTGTTGAACATGGACGTGTTCTTTTCTCCAGGCAACTCCAATAGCCATCATCATCAGGCTCTCTCATCTTATTTACTACCATTTAATATTCAACTACCTGGGCCAGGAACCTAGGAATGAATGACTCTCCCTCTTAGTACTCATCCCTCAAATGCACACTGTGTTCTCTTTCCATATTGGCCTTCTATATTACCCACTCTTGATGTGGGAGTGTCATATATCAATCTGTTGATTTCATTGGTTAAGCAATAAAGAAACTCCTTGGCCCTGATAGGTTAAAACATAGGTGGGAGGAGTAAACAGAATAGGATGCTGGGAGGAAGAGGAAGTGAGCTCAGACTCGACAGCTCTGCTCTCTGGAGCAGAAACGCCATGCTCTGCTCTTGGAAGCAGACACTCGCGATGAAGCTCCGACCCAGGATGGATGTAGGCTAGAATCTTCCTGGTAAGCGCACCTAGCGGTGCTACACAGATATTAGAAATGGGCTAGATTAATATGTGAGAATTAGCCTAGAAGAGGCTAGATTAGAAATGGGCCAAGCAGTGTTTAAATGAATACAATTTGTGTGTTGTTATTTCGGGCATAAGCTAGCCAGGCGGCCGGGGTGCTGGGGACGCAGCCCTGCTGCTCCTATTTCAACACACTCTCCTTTCTATTATTATACTACAGGACCTACTAGAATGTGAGCTCCACGGAAGGAAGGATTTGTTCTGTCTTCTACCCTATTCCCATGTCTGTCACACAATACTGCATACACTGAAGTAAATATCTGTAAAACAAACACTTTCGTCACCACAACTTTTCTTCTTCCCTTCATTCCTTTTACCCCAATGCTATCAAAATATAAACCACATTCTGTTATCTTTTCATTGAAACCTGCTGTGGTCACTAAGTCCTTCACAGTCTGATCTACAGTTGCCCACTCTATACCTTGTTTACTACATTCTAAACACACACAGCTTTCACCTACAAATGACACTTAGTTTAAACTCATTTCCTCCAGTCTTTGTCTCTTTCAGGCTCCTCTTTAATGTCTGGGTTATCTTTTCGAGGAGCCCTTCCTAAATTTAGTGTCCAAGGGGCCAGTGAACTATCACAGTAGCCTGTTCATTTCTGTGCACTGCAGCCCTTGCTTCCTCCCCTGGTGCTGTAACCAAACACCCAACAAACGCAGCACGACGGAGAAACAGTTCATCCTGGTTCATAGCTCAAGGCACAGTATACCAGATAGGCAGTCAAGGCAGCAGAAACCAAACAGCTGCTCAAGCTGCATCCACAATCAAAAAAAACAGCAATATCCACATTTCTCCATTTTATATCCCCTACCCAGAAAACAGTTCCTCCCACAATCAAATACAAGTGCTAAGGAAATAGGCCAATGAATATTTTAAGTTAAAAAAAATTATTCTGAACTACTCAGGGTCAGTGGTAGTAAAAGAAATTCCTCTAAATGAATACTTTCCACCCATCAAATTCACATTTGGAAAAGAACTGTAGTTAAGAAGAGAAAATTGCAAAATGAAACTTTGTCAAATGTGACAAGGCACACTTTCAAAAGGTGGAATAAAGAGAAGCAAAAGAATGCCCACCAGAAAAACTCGTACATCTAGAATGGAGGTAGTGTAAATCCTAACACAGCTTCGGACATGAGCTCCCCGCATCTCTACATCACTGCTCTGCGGCTATGAACTGTGAAGTGCACACTATGCCACACCTCAGAAAAGCAGTGACAGCACTTCTGCTGCCTTCAAGAGGCTGTACATGGTTCAGCAAATGCTTGGTATACTCTAAGACCTATACCTTCTTTCCAAAGTATTGTGACCTCGAGAAATAGGGCCAGCCAAAAGACATAGGAGACATGGCATTGGAGCTTCTGTGGAGTCAGTTAGGAAGCTGGGCATTACAGTATTTCAGTGCTTCTGCACTGAATTCCCCAACTGCTTTAGGCCTAACATAAATACTAAGACGCTAACTGGCATTTTTCACACTAAAACTGTTACTACTGTGATTAGGCCTGGTTAATTAATGTGAATAATTGGCCTCTTATTTCAATTCCAGAGGAGCTGGGTTTGATTCTCAGCACTCCCTTGGCAGCTAACAACCATCTGTAACTCCAATTACATGGAATAAGATGCCCTCTTTTGACCTCCACAGGCACCAGATGCAAATGCGGTGCATAGATAGCCATGTAGCCAAAATACCCGTACATATAAAAAAAATTAATTAAAAGGGTGGTGCACATCTTTCAAAAATAAAAAAGGGGTGTGGTTGAAAAGATAGCTCAGTTATTAAGAAAACTGGCAGGTCTTCCAATGTATTGTGTTCAATTCCCAGCACCCACATGGTGGCTCATGGTTATATGTAACTCTATTATCAGGGGATTTGATACCCTCTGAGAGGCACACAAAAGTGATATACACACATCTAGGCAAAAAACCTATATACATTAAGTAGTAACTATTAAGTTACTGTTATATAATAATAATTTTAAAACTTTAAAAGTAGGGAGGAAAATACAAAGTAAGAGGAAGAAATAAAGTTCCACACACACCAAAATTACCAACATACTTTAGTCAATTGAATTGGCAGACAGTTGTACTGACAATCCTGAGGCTTTATTGTAACACACTCATTAAACTGAATTGAACTTACCAATTAAGTGTGATCAACTTGATGCAAGAAGACTCTTCCTATGCTGAGGTATCCTCACATAGCTGCAGAATAAAACTTGCTTTTCTATTTAAAGGTCATTTCTTTTTTTGCTAACAGTCTAAGAGGAAGGCAGCAAGCAGGGTTAGAGAAGAAAGAGGAGAACACAGAGGAAGAACAAACAGCAGAAAGCAGAGGACCAGGTCCTGGCAATTCCTCCTTCAGACTGGGGGCTCTACCTGCAGCTGCTGAGAGCTGTCGCTGAGACTGTCTTCCCTTCTCCGGGCTTCCTCCAGCATCTGTGCACTCTTCTTCTTCTCCACCTGCTCCTTGTGCTTCAGATTTGCTACCTTCTTATTCTGGTCTTTCACTTGCCTGGTGATGGAGAAATGAAGACAAAGCTTTCATTATGCATAGGGGTAGGTGTTTATTTACATGCCTTGTGCGGCAAGGAGTATCTGGATGGCAATGAAATGTTCCTCATGCACATTCTTTTCAACAATTCCATTTTTATATATACCAATATAGGAAACAAACTATACACAACAATGCTGCAGTTTTCCAATGAAAAGGTATCCTAGTGCACACAATAAAATTACAAAATAAAAGAAAGGCACAGGAAGGTGTGAAATGATAACTGATTCAAGCCTCACGCCTGAAACACAAAAGTACTCTCTTGATATCAACGTACTGAAATATTAGTTGGCTGATTAAGGTATGTTCTAGAAATATTGCTGCACTCTTATCCTATCTTCTCATATCTACTGTATCAGGAAAATGAAAGTAAATTTTAAATGGCTAGGAACTTAGCAGAAGAAACAGAAGGAAACTCTTACCTCGTCCTCTGTATGCTACTCTGTCGCAACACACTATCATTCTATCCTTCACCAGGGTAGTCTAAATGTGTTCATTTCATTTATGTTTACAATGGGCTTCCTTTTGTCAGGGATGATGATTCATGCCTACAGTCTCAGTATCTGCACGTGTGAGGAAGGACTGCTGTGAGTATAAGGCCAGCTGAAGCTCCACAGGAAGCTCTGGGCCAGCCTCATAAACAGACTGAGATCCATTTACAAAGATACAGGTAAGATGAAAGCCCCCTTCCTAAAGGTTTGTTACACATATATATCTGTTTCATTAGTTTGCACATTTTCTAATTTTTAAGATTTCCCAAAAAACTACTACTTAATTTCAATACGTTGTCTGAAACTCATTTATCAGTGAAAGTGGGATGGATTTTTAATACCCTCAATTTTTACTATAATATCAAATGATGGATAAAACTTTTAATCCATTCTCAAGGTGATGGACAATTAATTTTTTTCAACTTTCTGGCTATGACACATGATACTACTATACATGTAACTCTGTTATCACTTATAAGTCTGTATCATGTTACACATGATACTTATAAGTGACAGACTTATAAGCGATTGTCCAAAGGTTAGGTCGAGAACCTAAACTACTAAATCATATAACTCTTTTTTAAAACTAATTTTTTCTCTAGGGAATGACTGGCTGTATGTCACAAGTCGCCACATCAACTAACACTTGGCACTATCTAGACACAGTATCTCAAGTACAGGACTTTTCTAAAGGGTGTGGTGGAATTCAGACATGAAACCCAGAGCCCTGCACACATGCCAAGGTAAGCCTCTACCACTGCCCTACATCCTCAGCCCAGTCCATTGAAGTTCCAAAATGCAACTAATGTGTTAGCAGTGTTGAACCTCTTTTAATACCATCTCTGGTCTTCCCTGTTCCTACTACTGTCATTGTTCAGGACATCCTTTTCTCAATGGCAGATCTCTTATACGTTGTTTAAATATTTTCTTCCAACCTGTGAGCTACTTATTTAATTGCTTTATGTTACATTTGTATTTATAGAATCCAAAATTCACACTTTATGATTTCAATGTGTATTACAAATTTACAGTAACAAAAATATGGTGTTCATAATATACAAGCAGGAAACGCCATCATTAGAACAGAATAGGCAGCATACAAAGACGTTTGCGCATTTCGAGTCAATCTTGACAAAGGTGCCAGGAACATACAGTGAGGAAAGACTAGTTTCTTAATCAGCAATGGTGCAAAACTGAATCTACATGAAGAGCAATGGGCTTGGACCCATATTTTCATACCATGTACAAAAGAATAAGCAAAATATATTAAAGACTTGAATGAACTGAAAACTGTCAAACTACCAGAAGATAACATAAAGAAAAGAATTCCTTAACAATAGGTCATTCATTTTTATACTAAAAATACTCATTACAAAGAAATTTTATCAAACTAAAAAATTTGACACATGTGAAACAGAGTAAAGAGAATCCTACAGACAAGATGGCAGAAAACATTTGCAAACCAGAAAATAAACCTGATAAAGAGTTAATATAAAAAATTTTAAAAACTCATTTTACTATCAAGAAAAAAATTAAGATTAGTTAAGGATATTGGACAACGGCACACACAGCCCCAGCTACATAAAGCCTGAAGTCTAAGAATCATGTGAGCCCAGGATTGTAAAACCAGTCCAAACAAGACACAAAAAGATCCATTTCAAAGAAAGTGGGGTTTGGTGGTGGTGGTAAATGAGCAAAAGACTTAATATTTTACACAAGGAAAAGCAAATACCAACTTTTATATGGGAAAAGTGCTCAATAGACAAATGAATAATTATATCTATACATGAAAACATTCAACATTATAAGGAATTGCAAATCAAATCTAGAAAACAACACTTCTTATAACATATCCTTTCCTCTCCACCCCCCACTCTCTCTCTTGGTTTTCTGAGACAGGGTTTCTTTGTGTAGTCCTAGCTGTCCTGGAACTAGCTGGGTAGACCAGGTTGGCCTTGAACTCACAGAGATCTGCCTGCCTCTGCCTCCTGAGTGCTGGGGTTAAAGGTGTGTGCCCTCACCACTCAGCAACGTATCATCTCTTATAATGACTGTAATAAAAAAGAAACAGATAACAAATGTTGGTAAAGATGTGGACAAAAAAGAAACCTAGTAGAGTGAAATAACCATTACAAAAACTATATGGCAGTTCTTCAGGATGCTGAAATCAGTGCCACATGCTGTGGGACACACCTGAAATTCTATCACCCCAGAAACTGTGAAAGAAGAATGAATCACAGGTTTGAGACTTACATAGTGAATTACAGGTCAGTTTCAACTACATAGTAAGACCCTGTCTTACAAACAAACCCCTCCCTGGCAAAAACATATCAATATATCCTTTAAAAAATAACTGTGCATGTCTGCAGTCCCAGGCTGAGCTGAGAGGATCACAATTCAATGCCTGTCTGACTACAGCGAGTTCAAGGGCAGCAAGGTCAATTTATAGAGACTCAGGTTTTTTTTTTTTTTAAAGTAGGCCCACCATGATCTCATGGGAGGAAAAAAGCTCCTAAGACTCCCCACTTTCGTGGAGTTATGAGTAGTAGTAGTTTCCTGAGGAAAAGGGAGTCAAGAGGAAATGGTGGATCAATGACTTTTCACATACTATATGCAGAGATTCCTTTCACTTTGTATCTGAGAGCCATTCCAGATGGGGCTGGCAGTCAGTAATATCTGCTGCAAGGCCTGGTTATTGGAAGCATTCTGACACACTAAGTAAGGAACCCACTTAAAACCACTAGATTGGCTTTTGGTTAAAAGCATATATTACAGGCTAAACATTTGATCCAATCAAAACCAACTCTACTTTTCAGCACTTTTAAAATTCATAATTATATCTTAAAGTAAAAAAAAATTATTCCTTACAATACAGAACTAGGTCACAGTTTTGAATTTTATATCAGAAAAGAATTTAAAAATCCATAGCTCATAATCAAGTATGCTCTATTCCCTATTTGTGTGTGATTTTAAAATACACATTTTGACTTTCAAAATGCTGAACAATAACATTCAAATGACTGGCCTTCATTAGTTCCAAAAGCTTTAATAAAATTCTGGCAATACAGAGGACACACACATGATGGCATGCTCACACAAGGAGAAATTTAAAGACAACAAGGCGTCTTTGCTTTTGTTTTTATGAGTTTCTTTTTCTTCATTTTTCTAGACAAGTTACTTTTAGCCTCTTGTTACAGATGAGATAGCTGCCATCTTAAGTAGAATGGGCTCCACATTCTCCACTCAGTTCCCTATTTTCACTCTCAATATCCTTTCTTAGGTTTGTGGTTATTACTACTACATCCTAAAAACATAAGAAAAACCATTACCTGGCCTTCTCTCCATTGACTTTCCCTGCCTTCTCTTGTGTGTATGGCGAATGTGAGCAAGGATATATGCAGAGTATATCACAAACTAACTTCAATAGAGGAGAGCTCAGTAAGTTTCTTGCCTCACTAAATACCATCTTCAGTTATTTTCTATAGTAATACATAAAAGAAAGATCATCAAAATACATATTAGTAAAATAGAATGTAGTTCTTGAATGCATCTGTAGGAACAACACTAAAAATTCCCTTCCTCCTACTCTGTCTGCACCTGCTTTCATAAGTCTTTCAATAAAGATAGCATGGGATTTCAACAGAGTTTGAGATTTGCATTTACAGGGCCGCAAAGAACTTTTCTCCTTTTATGCTTACTGGCCAGTAATTCTTTCAGGAAAGTTTAATTAATTTACCCATTTACGAACTGGACTAGTTTGGAGTACCTATACTTTTTAGTTATTTAGAGACGCTAAGAATTAACCTCTCCTAGCATGTCTGGCTGAGCTCTCCTCGGGTTGGCAGCAGTCTTCTCAGTCTGGAGATTGCCTCCTTTGCTTTGAGCTCTATAATTTTGTCCAGCCCATTTCTCAGTTCTTGCTTTAGTTCACACACTCCCTTTGCCTTTCAAGAAACCCCTGCCCATGCTCACATCTAGAACTGTTTCCCTACAATGCCTCTAGCAGTTTCGAAGTTTGCTTTCTTACATCAAGGTCTCTGATCTACTGTGAGTTGATTTTTGTGTACACTGAAAGATACAGATCTAATTTCAATCTTGTGGATATCCCATTTTCCAGCACAATTTGTAAAGACGCTGTCTTTCCTACAATTTAGTTTTGCTGGCTGTTAGCACCTTTGTGAGAACTTAGGTGGCTGCCAGTGGTTCTGTTTGGGTTCTCTCTTCCATGGAATCAAGTCAATTTGTTCACAGGAAATGAACCTTCTAATATATTGTTGAATTTGGTTTTATTAAGAATTTTTGCACGCATATTCATTAGTGAAATTGCTCCATAATTTTATTGTCTTAAAAAATATTTTTTATCAGTCAGGTGGTGGTGGCATAAGACTTTAACCCCAGCACTTGGAAGGCAGAGGCAGAGCCTATCTCGAAAAATCAAAAGAAAAAACGGGAATAAAAAAGAAACAATGT